TGTGTGTGTGTGTGTGTGTGTGTGTGTGTGTGTGTGTGTGTGTGTGTTCCTTGATCCTATACCTGTTTGCTTGTGGGCATGCCATTGACGTCAGTAGGGTTCTGCACAGGTGCAATAATGAGCAAATAACTTGAGTAAGGATCTAAGAATCTAATTTGATTGTTCCTGATCTGTGGTTGTAGAACCTCATTTCAACACCCATACTGAAAATGGAATAACCATAACTGTGGGTGTTGGTCTGAAAGTTGAACAGAAGAAAGCAAATTCAGAGAGCTTTGTGTTGCAGTGTTAGTAATATCTGTTTGTGTTAGCTACCATGCACAACAGAAATGTACATAACTCAAAAGCTGATGGTTCATATCAAGGTGGGGGGGAGAGGGGGAAGATCAAATATTTTCCTGTGCATAGGTGTTTTGCTCCAAATGCCTGGCTCTGCTGTTGTCCCTTTTAACTTCAAACATAATCTGAAATCCAGGCAGTGTAATAAAGTGGGAAGTTTTAGATACACTTTATGCTTTTACAGTCCTGTTTTTGTAATTGTCTTTCTCTCCCTCATTGCTGTCTCCTCCAGTGGAGCTCTGGGCAGACCTAAGAGTCAGCCCATGTGGACCATCTTGCAGGACCTGGGCCTTAGATGTTACTTGCTACAAGATTACAGGCTTTTTTTTTTTTTAAGTCCTGCTATGTGGTTTCCATTTGCAACTGTTCCTCTAATGCAATGGTCTCCAAATTGGGGTGTGCGCACCACAAGGGGTGCGCAAGAGGATCCTTGGGGGGGTGTGGCAGGAGGAGTGCTTTTTTTTTGCTTTGGCAAAAATGGTAGAGCCAGCACGGCAGGAGGTGCGTGATCAAAATTTTTTTACTGATAGGGGTGTGCAATCAAAAAAAGTTTGGAGACCACTGCTCTAACAGACCTTGGCTACTGCTCAGTATAGCTACATTGAGCTATTTTTGTCAGCTTTTTGCTAACCCAGCACCAAAATTAGCCAACCCTCAATTTAGATTTAATTGTTGTGGGTTTCTACCGCTAGAGTGACTAAAACATCTCCTGCAGCAGCTAATAGTGGCCCAATGCTACAACAGCTAGAAGATATGAGGTAGAGGAAAAGCTGGGCAAGACTTGTGCTTCCTAAAAAAAAAAAAAAAAAAAAAATGTTGGTGGTTAAGACGTGTATTAATTTGTTTGTTTGTTTTCTGAAGATTGACGTTTTGGTGAACAATGGTGGACGTTCCCAGCGTTCCCTGTTTGTGGATACGAAGGTGGAAGTCTATGCTGCCATAATGGAACTTAATTACCTGGGTACAGTCTCCTTAACTAAACATGTCCTGAATCACATGGTCCAAAGGGAGAAAGGGAAGATTGTAACTATGAGCAGTGTAATGGGCATCATGGGAGCCCCCCTTGCCACGGGATATTGTGCCAGCAAGCATGCCCTCCAGGTAAGCTAAATTCCATCTGGCTTGCTAAACTAGCAGTCTTGGAACACAGTCACCTTCTGTCTCTAGGAAGCGCTATTGTTATAGCAGCTAGTCCTTGCAGAAGCTTTTATTCTAACCAACATCCAGCAAGGAGAGAGACTTGGCTGAAGAAGTGTATGCTTATTGTGGGTTCCTTGCCCAAATATTTTAAAGCTCTTGGAATTAACAGAAGGGGCTGGCTATGGACGACACTCCCCTCCCAAACCTGGGCACAATTGGTGACAAGGAAAAGTGTCTCCTATCCATCCATCCTTTCCTTTTCGGATAGCAAACAACTCACAAGTGGGGGACTGCAGGGGCCTCAGGTAGGGCTAACAGATTTACAACTGAAATAAGATCACCATTTTTTTGCCTGGCTGACTTCCCAGGCTTGTTAGGCAAAATAGTATGGTGGGATTTGGATCCAAAAACCACGAGTTAGGCCCCCCAAAGTCATAGGTGCTGACTCTGTGGGTGCTCTGGGGCTCACACACTCATGTGTGTGCGGGGGAGAGGAATGAGCCAGAGCTTGAGTGTGGAATGTGATGAGTTCCATGCTGCTAACAACTTCTGCTCTTGGGATAGGGAGACTTCTAAACAGAGGCAGGGTGATTAAGATAACAAAAGGCTTGTCATTAAATTAAGAATCCTAAAATGATCCTGAAAGCATTGCCAGGCACTCTTGTTAAAAGGTAAGAAACAAAGGGTGGGAATAAATGGTCTATTTTCAGAATGGAGAGAAGTAAATAGTGGTGTCCCCCAAGAGCTTGGACTGGGACCAGTGCTGTTCAACATACAGTAACTCCTCTTTTAAGGTTGTCCCACTTAACGTTGTTTCAATGTTATGTTCCTGCTCAATTAGGGAACATGCTCGTTTAAAGTTGTGCAATGCTCCCTTATAACGTCGTTTGGCTGCCTGCTTGTAAGGTTCTGTGGAAGAGCAGCAACTTTACAAGGGAGCATTGCACAAGTTCTGCTTCTCTGCCTCCTCCCCCTCCCTCCCAGCGCTCCCCCTCCCCCCAACAGCTGTTTGGTGGCACTTAGGACTTTGGGGGGGGGGGGGGAGGATGTGGTGTGCTCCGGAGAGGAGGTGGAGTGGGGGTGGGAGGAGGTGGGCCTGGAGCATTCCCGGATCCGAGCCTGTTCTCTGGGGAAGCTGCCGCTGCTGCTGCAAAGGTGCTTCCTAGCGTCCTTGCCTGCAGCAGGCTGTGCCTGTGTGGGGTAAGCCAGGGGCACTTCCCAACCACAGTACAGTACTACACAGTATAATGCCTTTTGTCTTCTCCCCCCCCCCAAAAAATTTCCTTGGAACCTAACCCCCTGCATTTACATTAAATCTTATGGGACAATTGGATTCGTTTAACATTGTTTAAAGTTGCATTTTTCAGGAACATAACTACAATGTTAAGTGAGGAGTTTACTGTATTTATAAATGATCTGCAAAAAGGGGTAAACAGTGACGTGGCTAAATTTGCAGGTGATTACAAATTATTCAAGATAGTTAAGTCCAAAGCATACTGCAAAGAGTTACAAAGTGATCTCACAAAACTGGGTGACTTGGCAACAAAATGACAGATGAAATTCAATGTTAAATGCAAAGTAATGCACATGGCAAAATATAATCCCAACTATACATACAAAATGATGGGGCCTAAATTAGCTGTTACCCTTCAAGAAAGAGATCGTGGAGTTATTTGCAGTACTCTGGAAGCAGAGTACTTCAGATTTATAAGAATCCTTCTCACTGTGCCTGTATCATCCTGAACTGCAGAACACTCATTCTCCAGCTTCAAAAGACTTAAAAATGATCTCCTCATCAATGGGACAGATGCAACTAAATGTAGCTCTCCTTAACATGCATCAAGACCATACCAGGGAACTAGATGTAAATAAGATTGCTGACCGTTTCATCCAGAAAGCTACAGTGAGACATAATGTCTTTAAACTGCGACATTAGTGAAGACAACTTGTAGGTGATTGCAATGATTTTAATATACTGTAATTCATGATGTAATTATGTAGTTCATAACTTAATTATTAAAATAGTAAAGATACCAACGGTAGACGCATTCAATAACTAGAATATGAAAAGTATTTAAAATATGCTGAAAATAGCCCTCCCCCCCCCCCCAACACTGGCAGAGTGCTCCCTCTCTCTCTTCTCCCCCCTCCCCCAACAGCATCCCCCTCCCCTTTCAGAAGCACTCACTGGCAAAAACAAAAGTCAGCACCTATGCACAAAATCATAAGTGGTCTAAACATCACAAGAACTGGGGTGGGGATGTTGTTGGGTGGGTGTTTTTTTTTTATTTTTTTTTTTTTTTTAATTGTTTGCCTTCTGGCTTTGGAGCCTTTAGGGTGCCCCCTTTCAAGCTTTTCCTGGCCCTTATGGTTTCAGAGAACTATTTATTAGACACTCAGCTTTCACTGAAGGGGAAATAATCACTTGAATAGCAGCTGGGGCTTTAAGGAAGACTCCAAAAACTATGAGACTCAATAAAATCATAGGATTTGGCAATGCTGTATGTCAAAGGGCACAGTGAAATCCTCAAAAAACCAGAAACAGTTGCTGTAGGACATATTTTATTACAGCCCTGCTTCCTTGTAAGGCTTTTTTATATTGGTGTAAATATAAGAGTTATGAACAACCTCCGTTCCCAAGGTGTTTGTTATTCTGAGGGTCTACTGTAAACTGTGTTCACTGTGGTATGGGGGTTTCCTTATTTATATTTTGAAATAGGAAATAATCCCATGTGAAACCTACAGCCTTACTAGCTGAAATATGCATCTCTGAAGGAGAAAGCCATGAGTGGTAATGGGAACCCCTTGTGAAGAAGGGAATTGAAATTCATGTTCATGGGTTGGAATAACTGAGGGAATTCTGGGCCCAGTCCTTTGAATTTTGAGCACTTTCATGACTTTCAAAGAATCAGTGGCTCATGGCCCCTTGTGAAGTACCTGGTATCTTTCAGCATCCTGCCCTTTATTCTCACCATTTCTTGCAACAAATTGGGGATGTGTATGTTTATCTTCACCAGTGCAGAAGGCTCTCAGAGCAATAGACCAGGAAACAAAATGGCTGTAAGGGTTGCATATGAATTTGTATAACTTTATGGGGTTAGATATGATCTGCCTTCAAGATTATTCTGTGAACAGCTAGGGAGGGATAGCTCAGTGGTTTGAGCATTGGCCTGCTAAACCCAGGGTTGTGAGCTCAATCCTTGAGGGGGCCAGTGAGCAATCTGGGGCAAAATCAGTACTTGGTTTGCTAGTGAAGGCAGGTGGCTGGACTTGACCTTTCAGGGTTCCTTCCAGCTCTATGAGATAGGTATAACTCCATATATTTTTATTTTGCTAAAGTGTGATTTGTTTTCAGCTTAAACTGCAGTGACTGTTACAGTCAGTGACTTTGTAAAATGGCACCTTCTTACTCAACTCCTGCCTTGAAGGTGCACACAGCAGATATTTGCTTAGTTTACTGAAACAACATTTTGTAAAGCAAAGGGCTGGCATAATAAGCCAGCAATAAGATATGAAAGAATGAGCCCAATTCTGTTGAGGAGGCACAAGATAGTTGTCAGCTGTTACTGAAAACTCTGACTGCTGAAATCATAGGTGGCGGTTTGAGCTTTCCCTTAAAAAGTCAGCTTTTGAGTTCTACACTGAGAACTGATCTGGAAGTCATTGAGAGAAAAGGCATGTAAACGTGGACACCCTCCCCCAGGGTCACTTCTGTAGTCTTGTTTCTAACTGTAAACTCAGTTCTGAATGCTTTTTTGTCTAAACACATTTCACCCATTGTACATCACCATGTGCGCACACAAGGCTCTGTAAATCCCTAGATGTAGAGCACTTTGCTAAGTGGTGTTAAGGGTGGGCTATTTATTTAAAAATATATATATATAAATAAAAAAGCCCCAGGACACTGAAAGTTAATCTTATCTTAATCTAACATTTGAAAGTATGGAAATGAACAATTAAACCACTCCAACAGCCTTAATGTATAGCAAAACAAGCCTCAAATCGCCTTTCTTCTGTTTTTTTTCACAGCTAGAGCTTGGTTCTACAAACTGCTATTCACATAGCTTCCTACAGGGTTGCAAAGCAGAGGGCTTGATCCTACAAGTAGTGTGTGTGGGGTTGTTTTTTTAAACCAAAGGCTTAAGAAATTCAGGATAGGGTAGTGGATAACTTCTTGTAAGAGTCAGTACATTGACTCTTTGACCACCCCACTATCATCCTCATTTTGTCACATCACAGACCTTTTAAGAAGTCTGCATTCTTTAAAAGCATAAACCTTCAGCATGAAGATACTGTATTTGTAAAGACTTGTATCTATAGTGCTAGTTACTGTGATGGCAGAGGAGCACCCTTACCTTAAGTTTTGAAGTGGCTTTAATTCCATGATCTGGGTCTAGGAAGTTTGTCTACATGTAATTGTTTTTTATTTGTTGATTCTTAATTGGTGACACAGGGAGTCTTAATGAAGCATGCAGAATGATGGACTTCAGTATGCTCTTCATACAAATTCCTAATTTGATAATTGGTAGCACATGGTGGCTCAATGGGGCAATGGCAGCCTTCAGTATTCATCCTAATTAGGAATTTGTAGTATTGGTGCCACATGGAGTTGCACTGAAGAATGATCTGTGATGTCTTAGCTGTGATGTCTTAGCTTGCTGCCTAATCAAAAATTTCTAAAATAGGTGTCTTTGCTAGACATAAAGGCTGCTAGTTCTTGCACAATAGCAGTGCAATTAGGAGCAGAACATCTTAATGTTTGTGGTCATTGAGTTGAAAGTGCGTATGGATGGATAACACTTTCTGTTCAAACACTCCCCTCCCCAAATGCACTCCAGCGAGGGTGTCACCAGGGCCAGAGTTAGGGTTGCTGGGTGGCCTAACTGTATTTCCGTACTTTCAAATGTTGGGCTTTCTTTGAAGCCTATCCTAATATCTATCTTTTTGACAGTGCTTGTCTCTTAATAGCAATAATATTATAAAATCACTGATCTGTGCTCTCAGACACTGAACCCACCCCATCCCAACAAACAAAGAAAATAACCACAGCAGTGAGTCTGGGATTCTGTGCCAGGGTTTTTTATGCAGTGTAGGCATTAGGCACTGTGTAGACAAAGACTGTAGTTAAAAATTCTGTTATGAGCCAGAATAGACTCCAGCTCACTTCCTGAAGCGGTTGGCTCTGCAGAGCCAACAGAAAAAAGGGGACAAAATGTTTAATTACATAAATGTGACTTGGAATACTTAAGTGGCAGTTCTGAGTAAGAATCTGCCTTTTTTACATGGTTGCTCTTCATAGTAGAACAGTACTTCGAACAGCGTTAAGGGGCAGAACCTAACTGATGTGGAAGAAAAAAATAGGTGACTGTCTCAAGTAACACAATGTAATCCTCTGTGTACAGCATCTCTCTTATTGGACACACCTACACTTTCACTTTACTTAAGAAGCTTCTTGATGCAGTTAAGTAGAAGGAGCTGGTTACTTATCTCTTTGTTATGATTTCTAAGCTAGGAGTCTCTCAATGCAGTAATCTAATAATAAACATGCAGTATGTTGTGGGATGTTATTTTGGCCTGTTTACTCCCTACACTGGAACTGCAGGATACTTCTCCCAGGAGGGTTTATTCCTGATTCTGTTTACCAGGCCATAAATCAACTAATGTTCAACCATGAACTCCATGCAAAACATGTCTTTGGATCACATGTTCCCTAAAGCAGCTACTGTACAAATGTTAATAGCTACAGAGCCTAGGAAAGACTGCACTCTTACACCTTAAAGATAAATGGGGTGTGTCTACACTGCACGTGGGAGGTGTGATTGGAGCAAGCATCGACCTACCCAAGCTAGTTTAACTCAAACCTAGCTCAGGTAGCAGTGAAGTTTTGGCAGCACAGGCTAGCCTCATCCACTCAGGACCCGGGGCAGGTGCTTTGCATGGCTACCACCCATGCTGCCGCAGTTTCACTACTATTGTTCAAAGCTAGCATGAGTAACCAGCTAGATCTTGCTACACATGCTGCCATCACACTTCTTGATTACAATGTAGACATACCTCTTGTGTTTGTAAATAAAGCTCAGCTTCTCTCTTGCCTTTTTCTGTAGTGTGTTCAAGTCAGAGCCCAGTCCAGATGTTACACCCCATATTCTTCATAGAAATATTATCTTAGTTGTGCCATATTCTATGTCTTATGCAAGATGGGTCATGTGAGGTATCAGTGAAAAGGTTATGATTTACTGAATGTATTTATCTCATTTGTATGCATGTATCATTTCTGTATCTAAAGTTAGGAATATTGTCTATGTGCTTGGGAAACGCCCACCAGAAAGTAAGTAATCAGCCTTAATGAGCCATTAGGAAAAGACAATGAGTGTTTAAAGATGTAGGACCCCCGCCCCCCAACCACACACACATTCCTTCCTGTGGACCTTGCAAATAAATATTGTCTCATAGTTGCCCTGACTCTGCAAGGTCATGTGCTAATGTCATGGGGTACAAAATACCACCTTGGACACTGCGGGTACTTATGTAAATTCTATTTAAGGCTGGGAAGCAAGGCAATCCAGACTCTCCTCCATTGCCTGCCGAGGAAGGAAGACTGCTAAGAACACCTGAAGGGAAAGGCAGGGTTGAGTCCAGGTTGAGACGGGGTCCAGTCTGTAAAAAGAAATAACTGAAGCTCTGGAAACTCTGCAACTTGCTGTGACAAGATGGCCGATGTTCGTAGGGTGGGTCCTGTGCTTTTCTGGGGTGGGGGTGGGGGTTAAGATGTCACCCTTTGCCCCTGCCTGGGAAGGTGGTAGAGGAGGGAAGCGGGGGAGGGGTCTGGGTTTGCTCCTCGCTCTGAGTCCCAGCCCCTCTCAACCCCTGTGGCTTTCTTATCTTCTTCCCCCTTGGGTGGGGTTACCCTCGGTCCTTAGACGGTGGGGGAGGGAGTCTCCCTGCCCTGTCTCCCTTACTTCAGTTCTCTGGTTTTTCAGCTCTCACAACATCCCTCCAAGCTCCAGTCCTCTTTCCTTCCTCCTCTTCCCCTGACTGCCTGAACCAATTAACCTGTAGCAACCCTCCCTAGTCTACAGGGAACCATGCCTTAATTAGCCTAGAGCTTATATATTTCCACTCTACCACTGCTCCCTGGCCCTCCTGTATCACATTGCCTAAAACAACATTTAGGGTGAGAAATTACACTCAAGAAACTGGTTACAAAATATATTAAGCTTAGTTTGTGTGTTTTGTTTTATTTGCTCAGTAATCTGCTTTGTTCTGTTTGCTATCCCTTATAATCACTTAAAATTTACCTTGTGTAGTTAATAAACTTATTTCTTGTTCATAACATAACCCAGTTTATGCAATTCATATCTGGGAGGGAAGAAGCTGTGCATATCTCTTTCCACATTGAGGGAGAGGGTGATTTTTATGAGCTTGCACTGTGCAGATTTTTCTATACAGTGCAAGACAATATTATTTTGGGTTTACTCCCAAAAGGGGATGTGCACGTGAGTCCTGGGTGAATCCCCAAGCCGATTCCTCTCCCACACAGCTGATCTCGGGGTCTGTGTCTATTTGCAGCTGGGTGTCGCTACCAATGTGTGCTGGAGAAGTCTTGAGGGCCTAGGACAGGGTGAGGAAACCCAGGCTGGTGGAATGGGCAGAACCAGTGGGACACCAGCACATCAAGTGGCATCCCAGATGGGGGGGGGGGTCCAACCTGTCACACCCTCCTTCATGTGACACACAATCCTTGTCCCTTACTTAAAGAATCATTTTTATCATGTTTTACTCTCTGCATGAGGAGTTGGGAGAAGCAATAGGCATTTGATTGCAATGGTCTATTCCTTTCCATGCTCCTGCCGTTCTTATTCCTGCACAACTCCCTTTGACAAAACACCAGGGGCCTTGATTCTCTGAGGGGCTGAGCACTATGCAGTGCCATTAATGTCACTTGGTGCTAGAGATGCTCAGTACCTCTAAAATTCAGGCCCCATAATACTTTGTTGGTGGGCATTGTGCAGACCTGAGAACTGCAAGAGTGGGGAAAGCTTCTGGTATAGAGACCCTTGTGCTTCTGAGAGCTGATGGAAAGAGGCATCAGTGACTGCAGACAATCTCTTACTATCCAGGCCCTTTAGCTGTAGACTGAACTAGGAGTAAGCATTCAAAGTGGTCACTCAACATGAAAGATTGAAGACTGGTGGTGGTGATCGCATTTAGTACAATACCTGGAACTTCTACAGCAGAGTTAGAGTTTAATACTTATTAAATAAGTTAAACCTCACAATGCCACAGTGAACTACGTAAACATTATCCTCATTCTGTGACTAGGGAAACTGAAGCATGGGGCAATAACAACATAACTTCCTTTTTTCTAGGGTTTCTTTAATTCTCTTCGGCCTGAACTTGGTGAATACCCGGAGATAATCATTACCACCATCTGTCCAGGACCTGTCCAATCCAAAATTATACACAATGTCTTTACTGAAGAACTCTCAAAGGTAAGGAGCAGATATTTCCCTGCTGAAACTCCGCTACAGTAGAAGCTAATTCTGTTACAAGCACAGTAAAACTTTCATTCTATTTTCCAATGTAGAACTGAGCTCCTCCGTGTTAGCAAACACTAAGCTGCCAGTAGTAAGGAGATGAATACCCTACAGTGTAATAAAGGAACATTATATAGGCCCAGATTTTTAAAGGTATTTAGGCATTGTGGTGCTCAGTGTTGCAATGCCTAACTGATTTAGAAGTCTAAAATCTCATTTTTCAGAAGTGATTTAGGCACATAAATCAGTTAGTCATTGCAACACTGAGCACCACCATGTCTAAATACCTTTAAAAATCTGGGCCTTCGTCCCTAACTTCATATAGAATCACATCCTTACTCACCTTTGCAAATGGTGTACCTTCCCTTTCCTACGTGCACAGGTGTGTTAATCCCTTTGTAGGTGATTGATTTGGTGTACACCCTCCCATTCCGGGCAACCTGGAACCTGCCACTATGCAGCCAACCAGTGGTTGCAAACTCCCTGTACAGTCAGCTTTTACTCACAGAATCACCCTGTTCTGCTGCATAGAAGCCATTTTGCAGCTGCAAGGAAAGGGTCTGGATTAGTCCCACAGAACTTTGAAATGCAGAATACATTAGCTGCCATCTAGGCAACTTCTGTCTGCTCAACTCACAAAGTTCCCTATTCTGTTGACTCGATGGTGCAATCATTGGCAAAGCTCCTACTGTCGTCAACTTCAAGGCATGCGTTCTTGGAAAGCCAAGGAAAATCTCTCAAGTTCCCAAACTGTTTCAGCTAAACTATCCTGCAAAAAACCCCTAGTAATTGAAATTGGTGAACAATTTTTTTTGGGGGGAGGGGGGTGTCTACAAACTACCCAGCAAACATAATACCTAGGATAATTCCATGCCATGTGGGGAACAGGCCACCTGTCCTGTACATTCAAGCCAGGTTCTGGTAGGTGCTTGTGTAACTGTATTTCACAAAAAATAAAACATTGTGTCTAAAGTTATCTATTCTATTAAAACCCCGCTGAGAGCAAAACACTGGAGATCAGCATCTTCGTTTGATTCTTTAAAAATAAAAAATTTCTCAGGCTCCTGGGGATAAGAATTCTGGTCCTGCCTCTTTCCACAACCAATCAATCAGGGAGTGTTTTCCTTAGCAGCCTACCCAGTAGCCTGCGTAGAGCTGCTGTAGCCTTTGGAGGAAAATGACTTCTCCTTAGCACACACATCTAGTTGCTTGGGTGGGCTTTGGGCCCAGGTGTATTATATAGGCTTCATTTACCCCAAGTCCTACACTGTTCATATAAAATAAATAGAGACCAGTCCTCTGGCCAGCCTACTTTGCCAGAAGCCACAAGAGACCTGTATTTTATTATTCTTAGGGATACAGATGCAATGAGCTGTGATCCATTTAAAAACAAAGTATAACTCCCCCTTAAGGATGCAGCATAAATGAGGGAAGAAGGGAGAACAGCATTGAGGCAGACATTTTGTTTTGAATTATGTATGCTCTAAATGCTCTGAAATCCAAAGATGGGGGAATGAAGTAATTTTTCTCTAGGCAAATGTAGCATTTCGTCATTCCTTTTTTTTCCCCAGACACTAGATAACACCGGTGATCAGTCCCACAAAATGCCAACTGATCGCTGCGTTCGGCTTACATTGGTCAGCATGGTAAATGATCTGAAAGAAGCCTGGATCAGTGATCACCCATATCTAGCAGTCTGCTACCTTTGGCAATATGCACCCACCTGGGCATGGTGGCTTATGAACAAGATGGGCAAAATAAGAATACAAAACTTCAAGAGAGGAGTGGTAAGCCATACCTAACAGGGTGTTTCTGTATATCCTTTCATCTCTTAGTAGAGAGACTTTAGCTCTCAATGTAGGCTGCATTCTGGGTCTGCTGTTCATCTTCCTCCCTGCTTGGTACCACATTTGGACACTACACAAGCATATACAGCTCCATGGGTTATTGCTGTTCAAGCAGAACAGTGAAGTGAGTAAGCTTATGACAAAACATTTCACCTCAAATATATCTAGTCTGCAGTGCACAAATGTAGGTTCAGAGCTGGATACTGAGCAGCTGCTATAGACCTGGCCTGCACTATGCTCTGTCACTACTATAATATTTAAAGTGACTTGAGCAATATATTTGGAATTCAGACAGGCTGAGAATCTCTCACTTCCGTACAAGTATTGCTTATGTCACATACTTAAAGCTGTGTCTGAGACAAAAGCCTCATTTTAGGTAGAAAAACCTATATTATGCAAAAGGTTAAGCACTCTAAAATCAAGCAGCAAAAGTTTCATGTGCACACTTAAAGCTGTCCTCCTGCACAACAGTATGTGATCAGATGCTGACAATACAAATACAAGTAGAATGAGATTTTTTTTTTAACTCCATCTTGTGTGAAGGATTTCCGAATCTAAATGAAATAGAAAATGGAGGAAAACATTGCTTAAAAGGTGTTGTGTTCTCATTATTACAGGATGCTGATATCTCCTACTCTCAAAAGAAGAAAGCTTGAAGAGAAACCTGCACAAAACCCCACTAAAGCAAAGTAGTAGCTGTAGCAGGAGGCGTGTTCTGTCCTCTATTAATCTTTGCAAGTTAAGGCCTTTATTTTTTTAATTCCTTACTTTTTTGCTATCATGTAACCTGACAAATGCAACTTAATGTGATTGTAAGAACATTTCTTGAATAAAAGCATGTCTCTAAACATATCTGCTTTACTGTTGCAGGGCCTTCTATAAATTCATTCTAAAAACAATGGTAGGAGGACAGGAACCCTATCGTGATCTTTCTGCTGCCATGAGTTTACCCTGTATTTGGAGGGTAGCTACGAATCATAAACTACTTGATCCTATTTCCACCATTCTCACATCTTACAGACCCCACCCACCAGCCCAGATTCTTCCCTTCCTGGATCCTGAAAGCCGCATGCCCCATAAGCTGGTTGCACCCTAGGCTGACATTCAGGACCAATATTAACCAAGCCTATGAAGGGGGAAAAGAGTGTTTATTGCTTGTGAGGGCTACTCTAGAAGGGCAGCACTGGGGCTGGATAACTTGTGCACACATCTAATCAGTTTGGATGGGAGGGGATGCAGCAGGCTTGTGGCTTTCCCCTTAGCCCTGCATTGTTTAGGGGAAGGCACTTCCCCTCTCTACATAGGGGAGAAGTAATTGTCAACTGAGCCCTCTCTCCTTTTAGTAGAGTTCTGCTCAGGTAGTCAGGGTCAATAGTTCTAAATGTCTCAGCTGTCTTGGACACCAAGTCAGCAAGGATTCTACCTCCTGCTAGAAGATCTCCTTCCTATTAGTACATAGGAAAGTGGAGGAGTCTGACTGCCCTGCTGAAGGGCTTGGGCAGTCAAACAGGTTCAAGTGTAATAGCTTTACACACCTAGATTGTCCAGCTGAAGTCCAGTGCCCTGTTGCCCTCCATGGGGCAAAAGCTGGGGGTGGAATTGGGAGGGAACTGCGGGAAGACTGCAAGGGGGAGCCCACCTGCATCCTGAACTACCCCCCTGCCTACATACAGCCTCTATAATGGTTTGTTTACACTGGAGGAGGGGAAAGCCTGGAGTAGCTAGTGTGCACTTCTATAGAAACACTCCAAGGCTTCCTTTGTGAAAGGGCAGCTGGTAATACACATTAAATATAATGTATAACTTCAAATAATTTTAACAAGTTCTAAAAAAATCAAAATACATCAATATATAAAATGATCAGAATAAAAATTTCATATAAATATTCATATGTACACTTTGGTTACCAACTCTACAGTTCACTATACTACAATGAGCTGTAACCTGCCTACGAATGCAAGTCACCTGTCAAGCTATTTAAAAAAAAAAAGCACCAACAACAGTTAGTGGCCAGAGCGAAGTCTCTCTTCTCTGAAGTGGAGATCAAGACGTGTGGCAGCCACACAGGGAAAGGGGTTTGGGTAGTTCCAGCAGTGAAAAAACAGCTTCTAAAGTTCTTGCCTCCAGCTAGCACCTTTTCTGTGCAAATTAGGTTTCCTTGGTTTGGCAACTGCCATCCAATGCCACTCAATGAGATCTTCATATTTCTAGTTATACAAATGCAGCATTAGTGCTTGGTTTCCTACTTACAGATAGGAAATACAAAAAAACCACCTTACAAATCAACAGCCTACAACAAAGGCACATGGAGAGATGCAGATGAATAAACAGGGTAGCCAAGCGGTGGGTCTGCTGCTTGCACAGTAAGGTTTCTCAGAAGGACTGGGTGAGCTTGTATACTGTAGCGTTCTTCATCATCATTGGTAGCATACAGCAGCTCCCATGAAAGATTTGCCCATTGACCTCGGACAGCTTCATTGTTGAGCTTCCCAACCTGCACTAACAATTCCTGAAGGGTAAGCACTCTGCCGGTGTAAACTCCCTTTGAAAGAAAAAACATTTAATTTTCAGTACACTATCTAATAGAATCAGACAAATATAAATGTTTCAGTTACAGAGCAGAAAGGGAATAGTTAGCATCATTCTGGGTACTGTCTTTTTAAAACTGCCTCTTCCATAATTTCAACAGGTGAAACAGTGGAGACTGCAATTTAACAAGTGAGACTTTCAACACTGCAGTTCCTTGAACCAAATAATGTCACATGCACTGGTCCCTTCCCAATATTTAGTGTAAGATGAAAGGCGTATAGGCCTCTAGACTATGCTGTTGCATATAATTAACTAGAACTGTTGAATCTTTAATGGCTGAATGCTTGAATATCCCATGTCATAGTTAACAAATGCTGCTGCGTTTTCAGAACAGCTGTCTAGCAATTTCCAGCAGTACTAATGCCAAATTTTGTCAAGCATTCACTTGTTCTTTGGATGTAAAGTTCTCTGTAAAGTCTTGGAAGTAAGACACACATTAAAATAATGAGCAGTGGAAAAAAATACATTAATGTTGCTCGCTAGCATTTTTTTTCCCCTCCCCTTACCATGTTAGGATCATGTCCCAAAGAAAAAAGATACGGCTTTTCCTGTAAAACTGCTTGTTGCCACTCAATATCTGATACTAAACCAATGTACCAGTCACTTTCATATTCTTCCAGATAGTTAATCAGCTCTTTGAAGTTCTCTACTGGACCCAGGCTTGCTTTGTCAACCATGAGCTTAAACGTATATCTGAAAGATGCATAACAGAATGCCTAGAGTAAGTATACACTTCAGAGAGAGGGACAAAGCAGTTATCAAAAGCAATGTAGCTATGATAACCCACTTACAGGTTGTTATAGTTGTTTCAGTTAGCTCAAACATTGGCACTATGGATTGATCATGGAAAATGCAGAATATTTAATTTCAGAACTAATTTGCTATACTATTTGGCAATGAATATGGTGACTTACTGTCATTTAGATAGCAAATATCTCTTCACTACATATAGTTTAAAGCCAACTCTGAAAGCACAAATGCTCTCTTCCGACAGCATTATGCTATGTTTTATAATACGCATGGCTTTTTACCTGAATGCTTTCAGTGCTAGTTGGAACAGCTCTGGTTTTCCAGTTAGCCAATCCAAACCAACACACCAGGGAATGCCACCAGTGTACGCTCTAAATACATGACTAGGAGCAGGAACTGTATTGTCTAGTCCAAACAAACCAAAACAACAAGACAATACACCATGGACGTACAACTCTTTCAAAGCTGTGTCTTTAGTAATGTCTTCAAGTAAATTGGAAGGTTTTTCTTTCAAATGAAAAAAATCCAGTTGACTCAAAACAAAATGGTACCAGTCTTCTGGAAACCTCTGCCTCATCTCATTGAGTTTGGAAGTAGGTATGGGTGCAGTTCTCCACTCTTCAGGTATGCTTAGCAACTCAGAGTAGGAGCAGCTAAATTCAACTAAAGGTAAGCTTACAACTTCCTGCTTCTTTCCTTTGTCTACAGCAGGGAGTCCAAGCACAACAGCTTTGTAGAGTTTATCTTCAGGTGCTGTCTCTTGCAGAGCACCAACTGCACTCTCCATTTCTACTGATCCTGGAACAGACAAAAGTGTTCTTGGTGCAGCTTCCAATGACTTGGTTTCTTTTCTTTCTCTTGTTCTGCTGGGGTCAAGATCAAAAAGATCACTATCATCGGTCCAATCCGCAATTGTATCTACACTAAAGCTATCTTCATCCTTTATGTGCCTGGGTTTTTCTACTGCACTGTCAAATGCTTTGGGCTGGGTTAATGGAAATGACCCTTCTTTGTTCTTGGTTGTTTTGTCCAGCTTCTCGCACATTTTTGATTTTTTATAGCAATACTGGACAAGTATCCATACAAGCACTTTAAGGAAATCATCTTTCAGTTGCTTTAAGTTCTCATGTGAATCAATGATTCCAGACAAGACATTCCTGGCATCAGAATACAGTCTCACAGGTAGAGCAGTACAAGGGGTTAAAATGTTTCCAAAATGATGATTGAGAGAGAAAGTCTCTGCATGCTCCTGGTGTTCAAAGGCCATTTCAAAAACTTCATCCACTCTGTGTGCTTCAGCAGTGTGGCAGGAAGTTTCCTGCAATTCTAGCCCCTATAGCACAAATGGAAACAAGTCATCTTTGCTCTTTGGCCGAATAAGCAATGCTAACAAATACTATTTTCTTGTATTAAAAATTATTCCCAGCAATTGAAGAGACACTTCCATTTCTAATATTTCTGGCACCAATGAAGCTAAGATTTTTTTTTTTATATAGCACCCATCATACAATCTAAGATTGACTACAGACGTTAAATACAGACACGATAAATCTGAACTTTCTTTAGAACCTTGCATTTTATTTGCCATGTTACCTTTGCACCTTACAGATCAACCGTATACGGTTGTTTTTACAAAAAATGTCTTGAGCCACAGGACGAGTGACACAGTACTTCTGTACTTGCTAATCTAGTAGTCCCCCCCCCCCCCAACTTCTTCTATGTCATAACTTGCTTATGTGCTTCAGATTGTTTCAAATGTATTATTATGGACTTAATGGTGCAACACAAAAGATCCTATCCGTTGCAAAACTAAATTAGCTACACACCCAGAATATATTAACCTTATGTAATGTGTTATTTGTGCTATTACAGGAAGTTACACAAAAACAAATGTGCGTGTTTCCAAAACATGACTAGGTAAGTTTTCAGTAAACATTCACCTTAATATTAACACAGCAGTATGTGAAGCCTCTTTCTAGTACTAATATCCACATCAGTCTGTCCTGAAAACGGCACAAGTAGTGTGATCCAGGTAAAGACAGACCTAAAAAAGATGCAGAAAAAGTTAACTTTTACTGTTGGATTCTGTTGATTAAGGTTTCTTCTGTACATTGAGGAAACCATTGCAAAGACGCTCTTGTATGAAATGGTTTGTGGCCTGTGATGTCCTTGCAACAGCCAAGCACATTTACACAGCAACAATGATCCTGCCAGAACCAGTTTGGGTTGGCCAAGCACAGCACAGGTGTTGCTTCAGTGAACTCCTGGCTTCTTGATGTACATATCCCATACTGCCTGCAACCGTTACTAGCTGGAGCTTTGGGGCAATTTGCCAGTATGAGGCATTGCCTTGTGGAATGGGGTTAGAATGGCCAGCAGAACTAGGGCAGCTGCAATGCTTGTGGTTTCCTCTTGCAATATGAAGAAACTACTGTAGACTACACTGGTTGAACTGGAGACCTATTCCTCGATGTTACAACCAGAACTTGTAAAACATCTTGAAATATTTGGTG